AAACGTGAAGGGAAGGGTTTAAGGGAAGGAAAGGGAAGAGATTCCGTGTATGGATCTCTTGAACCGGTGCTCCTCTTTGTCCTCTCCCTAGACCTATGTTCCTAGTTGCTAGTTCCGCCTCTCTTCCTCTAGTGTATCTTCGACTCTATGCGTTAGGACCTCCTCCCGGGTCAAGTCACCTACGTTCTCTGTCTCTCTAGCTTTGGTTCTCTACTCAAGCCTTCGTGTCTTAGCGTACCTATACGTCTTGAGTCCCGGAGTGGTGTGCACTTTTCTGAATGTAATTTGCCCATTTGATTTTTGTGTCCATGATCGTGCGGTTATTTGTAATGTATTTATTTGCCATAGCTTCATATTCCCAGTTTGTGGATGTTTGTGTTAGGAGATCGTGTCTGCTGGGCGCTCGTGGTTGTTTCCACTGTCTGGCTATCAGGGTTACTGCCGCTATAAGCACCTGGAATATCAATTGTCTTTCCTGCTTGTGCCAGAGGGCAAGATGCATGAATAGTATACCCTGTTCAGGTCCCAAGCTGTATGGGCGGCCTATCACGTCAGTGATTATCCCCTCCACCATCTCCCAGTAGGGAATAATTATCGGGCACGTCCACCAAATGTGGTACATTGTCCCCCTTTCTCCGCAACCCCTCCAGCATTCCCCTGAGCTTCCCGGGTATATTTTTGCTAGTTTGTCTGGGACCATATACCATCTGTACATAATTTTCCTCATTGTTTCTAGGTGAGTCGCGCATGATGTGTGTCCTTTGTGTGTTTGGAATGCCTGTTTCCAGTCTAGATCCGCTATTGGTCGCCCTATGTCCTTCTGCCAGGCTTCTCTAAAGTCTCCCTGTCCGTTTGTATCTACTGTATTCAGTAGCGCATAAAGTTTTGACAGGATTTTTTTGGGTATACTGCCCTGTAAGCATATTTGTTCCAAGGCACCAATGTTTGGCGGTTCGGTTCCCGAATCTTTACCGTGTGAGGCCACAAATGATTTCAGTTGGAGGTAAGGGAATATGTGTCTGGAGTGCAAGGAGAACTTGGTTTGCAGTGTTGGGAATGGCAGTAACTCGTTATTCACGCAGATCTGGCTAAGGTGGGTACAACCCCCTCTCACCCAGGGAGCGTGGTCAAACGTCGGTATGCCCACCGATATGCTCGTGAGTGGGATGTTCCTTATATTTGGTCCGACCATGCCCAGTGATGCCCTCACTGCGTCCCATGTCTTGATCATTGCTGCCGTGGTTGGTAACATGGTTGTGTACGGCGGTCGTAATCTGTGCGGCAGCTGGTATAAGTGTCGCAGCCCCTGTTTGCATGCCCAGTGTGCTTCTATGTGGACCCACTGGGGGGGGTCTTCTACTACGTTTGTCGCTGCTATGGCAGTCAGCAGTGTGGCTCTGTGATAAGAACGAATGTTGGGCATGCCCAATCCCCCTTCTTTAACAGGTTTTTGTAAGAGTTTGCTGGCTACCCTCACCTTGCGGTTGGCCCACACAAACCGTACGATCAGTTTTTGAATTGTGCTCACATATAGACCTGGCAGACTAATCGGGACTGTGCGCAGCAGATATTGGAGTTTGGGAAGTATAGACATCTTAATCGCCGCCAGTCTGCCCAGCCACGAGAGATATTTGCCCTCCCATGTGTGTAACGTGTCTGTAAATGATTTGATCAGTTTGGTAAAGTTTAACTTGAACAAATGGGGTAGGTGGGGGGGTATATGTACGCCCAAGAAGGTAATATAATCCTTTCTCCAGTCAAAGGAGAAAAACCCACTCAAGTGTTTCAGCCGATGAGATTGGACTCCCACACCCATAGCCTGTGATTTAGTGACATTCAATTTGTAATAGGAGTTAAGGCCGTATTCTTTAATGTCCTTCATAAGGTTCGGTAGTGAAATTTGGGGTTGCGTTAATGTCAACATGACATCGTCCGCAAACAAATTGATTTTGTATTCCCTATCGCCCACTGTTACTCCATGTATGGAGCTGTTGGCCCGTATTGTCTCTGCTAACGGCTCTAAAGCCAACACATATAGTAAGGGAGAGAGTGGGCATCCCTGCCTCGTCCCGTTGGTGATGTTAAAGGGTTCCGATGTGAAGCCCGCAGTGACCACCTGAGCCGATGGTTTGCTGTATAAGGCCTCCACCGCCGAGCAGAATGCCCTCGGCATCCCAAACTTATCCAGGACCGCTCTCAGGAACATCCAGCTCAGGCGGTCGAAGGCCTTCTCCGCGTCCAATGAAAGCGTTACACATTCTGTTTGTTGCCTGTGTACGCTGTGTATAATGTCGATTACCTTTCTCGTGTTGTCCCCCCCTTGTCTCCCTTTAACAAATCCGACTTGATCATTCCTTATCAGGTGCGGGAGGATTGTGCCCAACCTAATGGCGTAAATTTTCGCGAAGAGTTTTGTGTCAGTGTTTAGCAACGATATTGGTCGAAAATTTTGTGGGTGGATTGGTGGTTTGCCCGGTTTAGGCAATGTTATTATATGGGCTTTGAGGGCTTCTGGCGGGAGTGCGTGCCTCTTGGCTGCTTCATTAAACGCGTTAGTAAGGTGAGGGGCTAGGGTTTTTTGGAAGTGCTTGTAGTAACAGTTGGCAAACCCGTCTGGGCCTGGGGCTTTATCGGAAGGTAGAGAGTCAATTGCTCTCACCACCTCTGTTTCTGTTATCAATGTGGCTAGGCTGTCTTGTTGAGCGGGTGTGAGTTTGGGCAGTGCGATCTTGTCTAGGTAGGAGGCTATTTTGGCCCCCTGTGGTTGGGGTGTATTTGGGTCGTCCCTGAGATTGTACAATGCTTCGTAGTATTTGGCAAATGCGTTGCTAATGTCCTTGGGCGCCACTATTTTCTGTCCGCTTGGAGACAGCAAGTATGCTATTTTTTGGGCTGCTTGTTGTGACTTTAATCGTTGTGCTAACAGTTTACCTGCCTTGTTTCCCTGTGTGTAGTTTTGAGCCTTTAGCCTTTTCAAGTGATATCCCACTTGTTCTAATGACATTTGGTGTATCTGTCTTGTGAGTTTCGCGATTTGATCCTGCAGTTCGCGTGAGGGCGTTATTTGGTTTTGTGTCGTAGCGCGCTGGAGGTCTGTTTGGTATGTGTGGAGCTGAATTTGGGATTTTCTTTTTAGGTATGCTGCCCGTTGTATCATTTGTCCCCTTATCACTGATTTGTGGGCCTGCCACAGGGTACCGCGGCTCGTTTCAGGTCTATCATTATCTTGGAAGTAGTGGGCTAAGTTTTGGGTCAGCTCCGTGCAGAAGGCGCTATCCTTCAGTAATGTTGCGTTTAGTCGCCACGGACTTCTATGGGTCGGGTCATATAGGTTTTTTAACGTTAGTTCCACCGGGGCATGGTCGGACCATGTGATCTGTCCTATCTCGCATCGGGCCGTTTGGTCTATCCCTGTCCCTGAGATAAGGAAGCCATCAATGCGGGAGTAGGTGTTGTGCACTGTCGAAAAGAATGTATACCCTCTTTCCCCTACATGAGTGGCTCTCCATACATCGTACAAATGGTTGTTGTGTATAAGCTTGCAGAGCGCCTTACTTTGTTTGCGGAGGGGCGCGGTGCGTTTCCTAGCTGGAGCTAATGTCGTGTCCATGGAGGGGTCAAAAACGTGATTGAAGTCGCCGCATATGACTGTCGTCCCTATCTGTACTGACTGCAGTTTCTGAATAAGTTTGTGTAAAAAGTTGCGCTGGTTCGTGTTGGGGGCGTAGATGTTCGCTATGGTGTAGGGCATGTCATTAAGCGTGCCTACTATAATGACATATCTGCCGTCCGGGTCAATATGTTGGGAATGCGGAGTATAGGCCACATTTTTGCTAATTAGTATGGAGGTGCCTTTGGTTTTGCTGGTCGATGTGGCATGGATTTGTATAGGATAGTCTTTCCGTAGGACGGTGGGATGTGCATTGGTCATGAAATGTGTCTCTTGAAGGCATAGAACGTCTACTGCTTTATGTTTGATCTCTCGGTATAGGAGGTGTCTCTTAACCGGGATGTTCAGTCCCCTAACATTGTGTGAGTAGATTTTCAGGGTGGAAGGTGGTCATAAAATGTTATTTGTGCTTGTGTTTGATCTATATATGTCGGGGGGTCCCTGTGTCCCAGTTCCTCCGAACTCAAGGGCTGTCCCCAGGCAGCTTGAGGGCTGCTTCGCATGATTTTTGGCTCAGAGGAAGAGAGCGGCATGATCTCCGCCTTATCTAAATTTGGACGGTGGCTTACGGAGCACGTAGCAGGTGGGAGGGGTGTGTGAGGTGCAAGTATGAGTACAAACATAAAAACAAAATAGGAAACAGTAATAGGAAAGTTATAACAAATCAACTTTTTCGCCGAAATATCGGCTATGCACCAGTTGGTGGTGCGGTGGGGGTAGAAACTAATGGTTTCTGTCCTGGCTGCGGTTCGTCGGCCGCGGCTTTTGCTCGCGTGTTTTGCTTTTTTGTCTGGGTGACCCTCTTTTTTTTTTTGCATAATAAGAAAGTTTGCGTGAATGGGTTGTCGCTGTCTACCTGCCTGTATCCTGAGATTGCACGTTGGCATAGTTTTTTTTTTTTTGTGGTTTTCTCTTTCTTTTCCCTACCTCTCTATGTGTTTGTATGTCGGAGCTTTCTGGGTTCTGTGAGAGGGCGGGTGGGGGCTCCCCTGTCTATGCTTTCCCGGAGTCGGTCTCTATGTCACAATATCCACGTCTTAGTCTCCCGTCTAGCCCTGTTCCCCAAATTACCTATGGCACCCACTCTCCCAGTCCTCCTGACCCTTGTCTTTGCATGTGCATTTGTCTTTTGCTCCCATTTACAATGCCCTTACAACATAAGAGAGTTAAACTAAACATATGTTATACAAGCCTGGATTCAAATGGCTGGATCAACAGTTCTCAGGTTCAGCGTCACAGCTTCTTCCCAACTAGGTGGCTTAACGTTTGGCTTTCCTCCATGATGGAGGGAGTCTTTGAGTCTCTTTCGTCGCGGGCGGAGTATCCATGCCCCAGGTTCTGAGGATTTTCATTCCTTCGTCCGGGTTCTGTATCGTAGTTGGTCGTCCATTTCTCTGTACGATCAGCTTCACCGGGTATCCCCATCTGTATGGTATTTGTTGTTGGCGGAGTTGCGTCGTGATTCCCGCGAATTCCTTCCTGCGTCTAAGTGTGTATGCTGATATGTCGGCATAAATCGCTATTGCTTGGTATGCCGCCGGCATGTCCGTTTTTTTTCTGGTTCTGTTTGCCCTCATTACCTCTTCCTTTATGTGAAAGTAATGCATTCTCAGCAGCACGTCTCTAGGGGTTTCAGGTGGTAAGAAGGTGGGTTTTGGCACTCTGTGAGCCCGGTCCATCAGGAACATGTCAGGGGGCACATCAGGGGCGAGCGCTTTGAACAATCCCACTAGGTAGGCCGTGAGTTCTGTCGGGCCTATATTTTCCGCTATACCTCTAATGCGGAGGTTGTTCCTCCGGCCTCTGTCTTCCAGGTCAGCGGTTTTCCCCTCCTGCGCCTCCATTCTCTCTGTAAGGCTGTCTAATTTTTCTGCCATGGAGTTTTGGGCCTCCTCATATGCCACCATTTTGTCCTCCAGCCCTGCCGTCCTGTCTCCCAGCTCTTTAACATCTGCATTAATGGTGCGGATTTCATTTTGCAGCGTGAGCTGTAACTTGCCTGCCATAGTGTCCAGCATCGCCTGCAGGATCCCCTGCGTGACCGGTAAGTCGGCAGCCGCCTGTTCTGGGGAGGGAGTGAGCTCTTCCTCGCCGCCATCTTGGTTTTCGCCATGCGGTCCAGATCCTCGTGTCTGGCTCGCTTTAACGCCGAAGAAATTAGATTTCTCCCCCCGCTCTGTCTGCCGGCGTTGTTTAGGCTGGGACATCGTGTCTCGGGTCGTGTGGTGTCGGGTCACCCACTTTGCAGCTTGTTTAGGCCGTTGCCGCACGGAGCTCCGGCTACATGCGACCGCTCGCTCCGGAGTCTAGGACACGCCCCCTCGATAGTATCCTTTTAATAACTCAGTCCTATTGTGTCAGAAGTGGCTAGACACAAAATAAATTCTCTTGTTGGAAGAAAAGTACTTTCAGACATTAAATATTTACTTCAAGCACCATGACCATGTCAGTGATTTGAAGTGGTCATGGTGCCTGGATTCTGTATGCGCAGTGTTTCACTATGAATTGTTGCACTTACAGAGTTTAACCCATCTGTTCCTGGAGGTGTACCTCCACCCCCAGCAGTAGTATACACAGACCACAGCCTCTCTACAAAACTAAAATGTGTTTCGTACTTTATTTTCTGTCTGCATTCAACATGCTCTATGTAACAGTGTTGATTAGATGCTCAGAGATTGTTAAAAGTAAGATTACAGGGACTTGTCAGGTCCTCACTCATCCTCTCTTACCTCATGCTCCCTCACTGTGACTCCCTCTCTCCTTTCAGCGCTGCTGCGCTTGTGCACAACCTTCCAGTGAAATAGTCTGACCTGTACATAACCATGGGTTGGCGGCAAGCCTTATCTCCTACATCCAAAGTGGTGCCATGTTATCCTCACAGCCTACAAATCAGACAAAAAAGCCTCCTCTAATATGGTGCAGCCAGTAGGTGGAGTCCAGTGAGGACCAGCCTCTCTTAGCATACACCCGCTGAACTGGTGTCCACTTAACAGCCTATGTCCTAGTACTCTTTGCTCAGTTATACTGCGCTCCTAGTGTTGTCCACTTCAGCACTTCGTCTGCATCTAAGATTCCTTGTATTTGACCCGCTGTCTGTATTAACCGTTTATGAATCTGTGCTGCCTGACTTAACCTTTTGCTATGCCTGATCCCTATTTGTACTGCAATATTGGTGTTCTCATCCGGCCTGCTGCACTTTTGGGCTCATTCCACTAAATCTTACAGGACTCAATAGGCACCCAGACCACTTCTTCTCAATGAAGTGGTCTGGGAGTCATAACCCTCTAGTTTATTTCCTGCAAGTGCACACATTGCTGTTCTGCAGCCACTAGAGACCCTTCTGAATAAATAGCTGCGTAACACTCGGCTATTTTATTCAGATGGTGCAGCGTGGTGTTTTGCCAGGCATGCGCACTGGATTGGTGAGCTCATCCAAGGAGGTGGAGCTTCCAATGGAGACAAGGCAGGAAGGTAAGTAAAATTCCCTGTTTGAACCCTCACATGCTGGGGGGGGGGGATTAAAACATTAAACTAGAAGCTATAGCGTTAGGAATACATGTTTGTATTTCTAACACTCTAGAGTTCCTTTTAAAAAAAATAAACAAAGAGGAAACTAGAACAGCAAGTGGCACAAAAAGTTCAAACTGAAAATTATTACATAGGTGCCCATTAGATTAAGAGGTACATAGCCATGGCATAGGAATTAAGGGGAGCCGATCTTCCCGGTTAATCTTGCAGGGAGGATGAGATTTGTCAGATCCCCCAGCCATAATCTGGTTGAGATTCTTGGCAGTGGGTATTGCTGTAGTATATGTGGCCAGCAGTGAATCTGGCCTGGCCAATGCCACTGTTAATATTTTAATTCAGATGGCCATTGGGGGCAGCAGAGGAACAGCAGGTTTTAGTGCAGTTGATTAAATTAATGCTTTTTTGGGGGTACCGATAGAATAATCTATAATTTAAGGAGACAAAACAATTGATACAGCGCTGACTCCAAAGGCAGTAAACATTAAAACTTGGATACCCTAAAACATCCAAGAGAAATACAAAAATATGTAAATATTTAAATAGCCCAGCTACATCCATTAGCAGGGATTATACAGCTGCAAGATTTTAGTAAGAGCTGAATTGGAAGCTCTTTGTTTGTGAGTGTATATCGATTTCTTTTATACCAAATACTGGAATTTTTTATTGGATTACACTATTGTTTTTTTCCAAAAAAGTGTCATTGAATGCATCTCTACTTCTGAAAGGGTCCTGACTGGTCATCTAGTCATATCCCTGACAAGGATTATATTGACAGAAGCTGATACATGAGAGCTAGTAGATAGCTCATTCTTTGTGAATGTGAGTGTATTTTCAATCATTTCAATTCTCATCCTTGTTCATACAATATTACTCTATTTGTTTTTTTTTGTTACTTATAGTCATTTCATACCACTGAACCCATCCGAGCTGGTAAAATTACTATGCTGCCTGTTGAATTGTCAGCCTTATAAAGACCCTTATATACCTCAAGAAAAAAACACTCTGGGACTATTTGTATATATAATATTTACTATAATTTTTAGGTATCTGATATAGAATATTGTTGAACTGTACCTATATTATCATTTGGTGCAAACTGTTTTTCTTTTTGTATATCTCTCATTATTCTATTTTACACAAAAAAGGGTTGAAGAAACTCATTAAATGAATTATATGGCAGGAATAAATATAGAAAATTTAAGTAGTAACTCGTTCAAAATGTTGTCTGCTTGTGGATAGGGTAGTGGGTAAGCAACATGGGGATTCAAGAAAGAGAAATGGCATGTGGATAAAGGGAGTGGCTAAGTAAATCTAAAAAAACTGGGAAAACGAAAAGTTGAAAAGCCGATGAATGGTAATAGGTGATACAAAGAAGAATGGGGTAAAAGAAAATGTATAGAGGTAAAAAGTGAACATGTGACAAAGAACTAGAGTGGGCAGGATAGATGGATGGACAGACAAACAGATATAATTATACTGTAAGAAATTGTATTTTGTAGCCTTAATGATAAAGATATAAACTACCTTCTGACTCACCGGAGGTAAAGCAGTTGATGTTTGGCATGGGATCCAATTTGGG